AGGTTGAAATACTCTACTGTTCAAATCAGAAATAATGCAGTTATTGAAAGATGATACAATTTAGAACCATTTGACATTGAGATGATGGTGTGTGCTCACCTCTGTTGTGTACATAGTGTGTACTTTTTCATTCACTTTTTTCAGTGACGTCTAATGGTGAAGTCTTTATAGGAGGTAAAGCCTGCACCTGAGGTTTAAGATGAAACGGGTTTTTTTGTCCTGAATGAACTTTACTATTTAGAAGGCAGTGTGTTGTATGGTTTCATTCACACTGTGTGTGTGTGTGTGTGTGTGTGTTTGTCTACAGAGGATGTGCCCATTCCAGCCGTTCCATCCATCTGCAAGCTTCTGTGACACAGTTTACACTGAGGAAACCTCGAGAGCGTCCACACCTCCTCCAGATGCAGACTGCAATGGTAACCCAACTACTGAGCAGACAGAGGAGTACACTGACTCAGTCATCATTCTCGCTCCATGTGTACAAGCTGAAAGGCCAGTTGAACCTGTAGAGACACAGCATTCATCCTCTCCTACAGAATCCACAGCGTTTCTTTCCTCAGAGAGCAGCCCATTCAACCCATATCGAAGTCAGAGTTCTGGAGAAGTGTCTTCTCCAAGGACCAGTAAACAATCCAAGCGTATTCCAGCGAAAAATCAAGAAAAGGCAACACTGAAAACTGTATATGTCACCTTGGATATGTTTGAACAAGACCAAAGCAGGTGAGGGCAAGGGAAACATAACTGTCTGGACATTCCTTGAGTCAAGATAAGTCATTCAGCTCTGAACAAAGCAGATGTGGTTTAATATTCCCGTGGACTTCCATGACAGTGTGTGGCTTTATGTTTCCTGGTGCTATGAAATGAAAGCGAAGAAAAATTATTGTTTGATGATGATTGTCTAACACTTACATTATGCAGTAGGAGCTGAATGAATGAAAAATGTGCATGTACAGTCTGTATTATAATATTTTTAGTCACTCCTGGTTTTACTTTGATATTTTGTTGTAAAAAAATACTATTAACTATGTTTTATAATAGGATTTTATGTTGTTTCGTATTTTTGTCACTGTAAATTTTGTTGCATGCTTTCGCTGTAAGCTTGCTGTAAAGGTGTAATTTTTATTTTATCACATGGATCACGTGTCACAATGACATGCACTCCACAAAAGTATTTATTGTTTGTTCCTTAAAACTGGAGCAGAAGTGATTATACTATAGACTTTCTGTTCACAGACATGATCGAATGCAGAGCCAAACTAATTTGATTTGTCAAACAGTTCAAACTTCATTGATTACCAAAGGACATTGTTACTGTCAATAAATATCCAATATATTACAAGCACCATGAAAACTGTTAATATTCTTGAAAAATGTAACATAAAGCAACAAGAACAAACATGACCAATGGTTCTGTGGCTCAACATTACAGTAAAAGAACTATTAAATAAAGTGCATAAACAGTGGTTTTCATGCTTTTTCTGTTGTCTGTTTTCGTTTGCATTTTGGAGTTTTGTTGTGGATGTCAGACATCCCTCTCTCCATCATGTTTTCTGCTTCCTTCTGGGAAATCCTATAAGGTGTTCCAAGGCCAGATGAGGTATACAGTATAATCCCTCCAGTGAGGTCTAGGTCTGTCTAGGGGTCTCCTCGCTGGTGAATGAGCCAGGAAAACATCCAAAGAAAGTCACCCAGGAGGCATCCTAATAGGACCCAGGAGGACCCTGAGGTTTGTGAGAAAGATCGTGGTTTACCTTTCCATTGTGGACATAAAGCAGGAGGCTGCAATCCATCATGACCAAAACTTCACGCAACAGGAGCAGCTTTTTCCCAACAGCAGCTGGCCTCATCACAAAGCTAGAGACACCCAACTGATTGTTGCACACACTGTGATTCTCCTGAAAGTTCAGCATGAGCAGCTGAAAAATAGTGGCGAAGAAGAGAACGGGAAAGAACAGTCATCAGCAGTAAAGAAGGCTGAGCCAAGTTTAGCTGTGGGGATTTCTTTGGAGATGCAATACTAAGAATATACGATGACATAATTGGGGTAGGAAACAGAGTTAAAATACAGAGATTTATTTATTTCATCTTTTTTTTTCCATTTCCTTTTTAAAAAACATGCCATTGCAATGTTCCATCCTCCAGTCGGTAGGGGGCGGTGATGCGCCAGCAAGCTGCTGTATAAACCACTAACGAGGAAGAAACGTTAGCTCCAGCTGGCTAGCTCTGTTGATGACTACTGAGGTTATGCTGGCTAACTGCTAACAATCTGGAATTAAGGTAGACAAACAGAAAATATCACTCAGCTTTTGGGATGCTGGTGTGCAGTGAGTCGTAGCGACCTATGTTTGGTGTAAATGTCTGCCGGCCCGCCAGAAGGTTGACCGGGCTTTAACTTGTTGGATGGTTCTGATGAATTAGTGGCTGCAGGGCCCTCAGTCCGCGGTGCTCGGCTAAGCAGTAACCCGGGATCCGTGCTGTGTGTGTGAGAGAGAGGAAGCATCGAGACACGGGCCAGTGATAGAAAGTTTTGGTTCTTACCACCCTCTCCTGAACATGTCACACACTGGACCACCTCCTCGATGGCGCAACTGTCCAAGAAGAGGCCAGCCGGTGGCAGGTGAGTGCAACCTGAAGCACACAGTGTTGGGTTCCCTGTCTAAGTTAGGGGGAACCGTTAGGTCGCTGCGTGCACCGGAGAGTCTGGTTTGTTGTGCTGGTAGAACTTAGCTTTTTTTGCCTGTTCTGAAACGGTTTTGTCCGTTCATTTTTCAAACCTCCTGATGTGAGCAGCAGCCCGCCACTGTCTGGGCTCGTTTTCAGTCACACACAAACAGCTAAGTTAGCATCTATGTAAGCGAGCTGTACACTCCAAAGGCAGTATTGGTTTTTAATGAATTAAAGTTGGGTTGCCATATTCAGTGAATTACCCCAACGGTTTTATTAAGCTCAAATGTTTCAATGAGTTTGTACACTTACTATTTTTTCCCCCCGAAAGTCAACTTAATTTGCCATGTTTTCCTAATGATGTTCGTAAGTGGTTGTATTCATGTTAGATTTGGCGCCTGTGGATAACAGGCTGTCGCTGCTCAGCTTCTTGGTAATTGTTAGTGTTGCCTTATTTTGAACCGAAGCTGAATGTGTGAGATATGTTTTCGGTTAGAAGACGTGCTTTAGGACAGTGCTTCTGAGTTGGCAAACTTTGCAGTCCAAGCATCACGTGTCCAAACAACAGGGCTGCAGCCTGGTGAGCTGCTGTTTCCTGACAGCCTCTCCACACCGGCCCTGCTGTAACACCAGCTCAGCTCACACAGTCTACATTTGAACACATCGATGGGATCGGAGGCACTTTATTGCAGACTTTTATTAGCTATGACCCAACTTAGGTATGCCAACACATAGAAATTGCTGTTGGTATTATAGTGTTATTTTCTGCTTTTTTTCTAACCCTAACCACTGCAGCTTGAAGTGATCGCTTGCTTTACTTTGATATGAAATTAGAAATGTTGTAACTGTGTAAATTGCTGACAAGCTTGTCCACTTCATTTTTTATTTCTCGATCTAGCAAAACAGCAAAGCCCCTTTCAGACATGGGATACATAACATTGTGAGCTTCATCCATCTGTTCTGATGAAGGCATTTTGTCACTCCGACGTAGATCTCAAGACTTCATTCAGACATACCCACCACAGAGATGGACAGAGCATGACATGTTTGCCATTCACGCAAGAGTACATCAAGTGGTGTATAACACATAATAAAGCACTAATTAACAAAAGACTAAATCGAAACTAATAACATCTTATAAAGCTGTCTAAATGACTAATGGTATAGTTTATTTATGATTTCCTAAACATTGAAAATTCTGTCCATGTGTGAAAATATTCTAACTCCTACTTTACCAGCAGTAAAATATAAACCTCCCATTATCGATGATGGCCATTTAAAATATGATTGAACTGCAGCTGATAAACTGACTCTGTGTGTGACTGCTCACTGGAACTTGTTTTTTAAAGTAAACTCTGAATATTTGAAATGGTATCTGTGAAGTTTTAGCTTAATGTGATTTACCTTTGTGAGCAAGACTTTAGTGGTAAATTTATCCTCATCTGGTGGAGTCAAAACAGATTCTCTTGCTTTGTGTTCTATTGGGAATAAATTTGGCCTTAAAGACCAGCTGGACCATGTGCTGAAAGTTAACGTGAGAGTACATGTATCTTTGTAGTAACTGCTACAAAAAAGAGTTTACCTTTTAAGCATCTCTTTTGATTAAAGTGTATGAATTCAAAAGGTGTAATAGGTAAAGTTCCAGTCTACAAATTAGGGTTTGAAAATGAAAAATATGCCCATACAAAACAATAAATAACAATCTTAGTTATATTTAGAGTACCACTTTGAAACTCCAGAACTCTGCTCTACTTTGATTAAGCTATCGAATGATATTTTTGTTTTCTTAAGAAATATCCTATATGTTTTGTTGTATGTCATTGCGATATGCAGCTGCATGTTATTCTGAGAATATCGCTGGTTTACTACTGTCTCATAACTTTTTTATTAATGGTGCTTAACGATGAAAGCTTTACATTTGTTTTCATATGACATCTCTCCCATAATCAGATGTATTTCAGATTTGAAATCAATGATGTGATGAGAAATATCAGTGAAAATTTCAGGCTTTTGTCTTTAATAGTTCCTGAGATACTGTAGCTTAAACCCAGCTTCAAATTTTAATACCAGAGGAAAACGTGCCACAAGTGGGTCAACAGACAGTTAAAAAAAAAAAAAAGTAACCTCAGATAATTTTAAATATAATAAGTTGAAATTTCACAAACATGTTAAACATATCCATTATTTGTGATAACATATTTTCTATCAAATCAGAGATGAGTGAGCAGAAATTGTAATTATTTAAGATGAACTCACCCTGCCGTTATTCCACATGTGTAAATATGTGGAGCTCGCTCTCTTTGGAGATGCTTCTATGGATTCTGCTGCTGTTTGATGTTGCAGGTGTTTAGTAACGTCAGAGGAAAGAGGAAACAAACTACATCAGCTTCATTCATTATTGATGTGTCTGATTAATCTACACTGTCTTTCTTCAGTGCAGTAAAGTTTTATTTCTGTTAACGTTTTTTAGTTTTTCATAGATGTGAAAGTAAATACAGACATTGTTTTGTGATTTTGGAACACAAACTGAGTCTGTTGCTCTCTGTGATGTTTTTGGGCTAATATTGGTGCTGAAATGTGAAAAAAAAACTCCCTGAAATTGCCTTGCACATCTCAAAGTGCACCACTTGTGTAATCCTGTCCGTTAGTGTGACTGCATGCACTTCAGACGTGTGCTTTGTTCAAAGTGATATAAAAACCCCACTTGGTCTGAATGAGTACGATTGCTGTTGCAACTTTTATAGAATTAGCTGAGTGCTCATTCAGACATGAAACTGACACATTCAGATACCATCTGATTAGTGAACAGAAGTGTAGATGTGAGGAGGACTTAAGTAACGTAAGGATAAAGCTAGAGTCCCTACACTGACCAGGAGGACTGCTGCTCTAACCCTTCTGTTTTCCCTACTAGGTAAATTCCTGCCAATGAAAACAATGTTGGGTCCCAGATATGATGATCAAGTGGCGGAGGAGAACAGGTTTCATCCGAGCATGCTGTCCAACTTTTTAAAAAGTCTAAAAGTAAGTACTTCAACAAGGCAGAAGTATTGAACTAACATGGAAAAGCCATGTCTCACCATACCTTTTTGTCTTCCTCAGGTAAAGATGGGTTTGCTTGTGGATTTGACGAACACTACGCGCTTTTATGACCGCAATGACATTGAAAAAGAGGGGATCAAATATGTGAAGCTTCAGTGTAAAGGGTATTAATGAATTCAGTGTGACAAACTTAACTAATTTGTCCAGATTCGCTATATTGTAGTTATTCTGTGGTAATGTACTGAAGGCTAATGCCGTTCTGTTTGTTTTAGCCATGGGGAATGCCCTTCAAAAGAGACGACTGCAATGTTCATCAGGCTCTGCGAACACTTCATGGAGAAGAATCCCACAGAATTGATAGGTGAGTAATGCGTGATTATTGATTTACTGAAAGTAGCAAAGCTGCAGTAGCCACAGTTGAAGGGAAGGCTGCAAAAAACTGCATACTGTATGAATGTTAACAGGCTTGTTAGGGCACCAGTAGATCTGACTGTAATTTTAGCAGTTTGTTCTATTAAATGAATGTTTTTATTCTTCTGTTGTGTACCACAGTTTTATTGCTTCAGTGCAACCCTGGTGGTGTTAAACATTCTGAGAGTGAGTAAAAAAACAAAAAAAAAAACAAAACATCAAACTGACTTATTGTAACCTATTTTATGGTCAACAATTAGGCTGTAAGGCTTTTGTGTTTTAATCAGTTTTTGTTTTAGCATTATATCGCTCTACAAAGGCAAACAAAGCAATGAAATGGCTTTTGAAA